CGCGCCCGCAGCTTGGCGGTGTCTTGCGGCACGGAGCGATGGTCCGGGAAGGCCTCTAGTGCCGGGGTTGTAATCCCCTGAGCTGGTATAAAATATCATTTAGGCCGAGATTTGCCAGGTCTAGATTAACTTTCCCATTCTAAAACGAGCATGTACTTAAAAAGTAGCTTAGGGCGCCGGGACGTTAGCATGTAACATGTTAATTGTCTGTGTTTTATAGCTGAAAGATAAAGCGGCTTGTTAATATCGACGCAAGCCTGGTGTCAGAAGTCCAGCAAATGCCGTTGTTTACGATCTTCCTCAATAGAGTACAGTGACAATTAATGAGTAGCGGCCACATTCCTTAAATTGAGTAGCATGTTGACAAAAAGGCCCAGCACGAGTATCTGCTGTCAGCAACAGAAGCATAAGACGCCTTCAAGCTGTTAACATCAACCCTGTGTAAATGTACATGCACACAAGGACATGAGGGCAGGCTTGGTGTAATGGAAACTTTGGAAATGCACAAGTTTTGACAAGACCTTTTTTTTTAAAAGATGCTAGTATTTAAACATCCAGAAAAAGGCTGTAAATCCTTAAAAGACACACACTGCTATGTATCAAACATATCCTCCAAACTTTTTGTCTTACTGTTTCCAGGTTCTCCTTCTAACTTGAAATTGAACGCATCGAAAACATTAGTAGTTGGCATTGGTATCTGCTATCTATTTACTAGTAAGCAAAGAGGTTTCCAATTGTTCTGATATCAAAATTGAACTCTTGATTTTACTTGATTTTAAAAAGGAGAATGTAAAACAATTGTGTTCAGAAATTTTTCTAAGCTTTGCTTAACTCAGCAGTCATATATTTGGGGATTATGTAGCTGGTTTTAGCTATCTTTTTAATGTTTCTTTTTCAGGCTGAAGCCATTCAACAGACTGCAAGTAATATTACAACATTTGGTAAGAACAGCATCTTGTTTGACTGAGTTGGAAGCTTTTAGGACTCTTAACTACCCTAAGACAGACAGTACATGCAACTTCTAATATGTCTGCTCACAGTGGTTCTGAATGCCATCATTTATTGCTCAGGCATAACGTTGCCGATGTCTTCAAGCACTTTGTTACAAGTTTCTATTATACTCTAAGTTAAACTTTAATTATTTTGGCCTAACCTACTTCTACAGTTAGTTTCTATCTTAGCATCTGTATATTCCTTAAATATCATTCAACCGTGAATTTGAAATCAATTGTGAAAATAGTTTAGTGATTTGTTCTCTACTGTTAAAAGTTACTTACAGACAAAACGATGTGTGTGTTTGGTTTTGCAGTGTCAAACTGCCAGTAAGGACACATGGAACTGTCATTGTTAGAATTGTTGCAGGTATTTTCAGAATGTCAGTCTTAAAGAACCATGGTTTTGTGTTTTGTTGTGGGTTTTTTTGTTGGGTGTTTTTTTTTTTTTTTTACATGAACTCAAATGTCATTGTCAAAGAGTGTGCGGCTCAAAAACTTGTCTGAGGGTTATTATGCTGAAGGACTCAAACATAAAGTAGTTTCAAAAGAACTGTTTAGGAAATGCAAATAAATCTTGAAATACAGTAGGAAAACCTTAGCATACAATTCCAAAATGCATGTTTTATGATCTTAAATAGTGCATTTTGAGAATATATTTCCATAGACACTCTTGCAAGTATGTTACTCAAGTTATCTAACTGATGACATTTGCTTTACTTGTTTTTGCATGTACAGAAAATGTCTAAGCATACAGATTTGACAGCTGAAGTGTTGTTGGAAAAGAGAGGAGGTGCAGGAATAATAACTCTCAATAGACCCAAGGCTCTCAATGCGCTAAATCTTTCTATGATCCAACAAATTTATCCACAAATAAAGGTTAGTACCTCTGTTTCCACCCATCCACTATACATACGTTATCCAAAACCAATTTTAAAATTCAGTCTGACATTTAGTGTATTGATTTAAAGAATGAAAGCCTGTGTGAGTGCATTGGCCAGTGAGCTCAGATTTATAGGATGGGAAAGAACAGACAGTTTCAAGCAAGCTAGAAAGAGGAGAAGACACGTCAAAGAAACAAGCTGTCAGACAAAGTTAAATTTAGCATCTGGATAGATAAAGAGACACCCATATTAAAACCAGGACTGAATTAAAAGCAAGCAGTGTTTGACGTTTATACGTCCCTTTTGGCAACACCCAGCTGGTCAGTTGGCATGCACAAATTCCAAGCTATACAGTGGTGTTGCCTTTTGATTGGGTGCATGTTTTGCAGGGAGGCTACATGTCTGAAATAAGACACAAATCATTAGCAAGCAAGGTGCTGTTGGTGTCATTCCTTAAAGAACTTCTTCATGGTTTTACAGGTGCTGTTTCTACAAGCTAGTGAAGTAATGTGAAATTTTAAGCATGAAAATAGTGCTTTTAAATTTAATGATATTATTTATCATATGCACAAAGTCAAATTTAGTACATACCAGTATTTGTAGGATAGTTGCCTGCCTTTTGGTGTTTTGGTAGATGGTTGTGCTGCAAATTTATGCATTCTTTGAAGAACATTTAAAGAAAAAAATACTTAATCTGTCTTGCTGAGTACCAGGCTTTATTTGAAGCACAACCTTAAAAGGTGGCATAATTTTAAGTATGGTTGCAGGTATACAGAAATGTCTTGTCTGTCTTTTATCTGAGTACACTTACTTGAATAAGGGATTATATAAGTATAGCTTGAAGGGCAGAAAAACCCTGTAAAAGGCATCTTTTTCTCAATATGGTTGCACCATTGCTGAAGTCTTGTACCAGTATATTTAATTCAGAACAACAAAAAAAACCCAAACCCAGTCTTTGTCCTTAGCAAAACATCTGTCCACAAATTGATTTGATCCAGACCTTGATTAGCATTGGTTGCAGTCATTTTGACAAAATGACAAAATCCATCAACAATTTAAATGCTGTTTTCCTTGCCATGAGTCTTAGATTTAAACAACTTTTATTATTTGGCCTGAAATGTTGTTATATCTTCCATATTCCCAGCTTTCTGCCTCAGCATTGTGTTCCCATTGAGATTTATGTCAGGCCCTGTTTTAGCGAGTGCTTCAGGCATTGGGAGCTCTGCATAGGCTTTTTTGTAAAATACAGAAGGCAACTTTGCTGATCTTTGACGTCAAGGTTGAATAAGCCACAGAGCCAGCAGAAAGACATTTAGCTCTCAAACTTCAGTTTAAGACAGACTATTCTAAGTATGGTTTGATTTGCTTTTTGAAAAAGTAAAATAAGAATTATAGACAGTATACAGAAAAATTTTTTTTTGCACAGACTTTAATCTTACATGAAAACATTTACTTCTTTTTAGACTTGGGAGCAAGATCCTGAAACTTTTTTAATAATCATAAAGGGAACTGGAGGAAAAGCTTTTTGTGCGGGGGGTGACATCAGAGGTAAGGACTATAGTCACTTAAACATTTGACATATCTTTGCCAGTTACTACTTTGCACTGATTTCCCTTATTTGGTGTGACTCAGGTAAATGGAGGCTTACTACACAACAGTAAAAAAGATTAGTTGTGCTGACTTCTTATGACATCTTGATGTGCAGATGCTATTTAAGTTATTTGTCAGGAGACAGCTGTTGGAACATTGTATAAAAGAGTAAAAATTGGGTTTTCTGTGAATAACTGGTAATGGCAGCCAGTCATTCCTGGGAAAGAGGGTTCTTGTCTCTACCTTCATCTTCCCAGATTTTCATTACTGACAGCTTCTTTACAAGAAATTTGAAGGGTCCTAATAGGTAGCTCTGTTACTGTTGGATAATTTGTGTCTGATGTTTGAGAGAGCTAGATACAGACAGCTGACAATGGTGATCAATGTATCTGTAATTATTTTGTAATTATGAACTGTAGGAAGTCTCCAAACTGTGAAAATTAGCAGTTGTTTTAAATCTTAGGTAAACAAGCAGCACAGATTATTGTTAAACTATGACCAGCTCTAACTGGCTTCTCATTTTTGGTATTCAGAGTCTTCAGTGTAATCACTTTTATGTGGCTGTTCTATATGAAATACCACAAACAAGACTACCAGACATTAGGAGGTGTTCCATAGTATAGAAGATGGACTGCACTCTCACAAGTAGTATGTGACAAAGTCTGCAGCATAATAGAATTGACTCAAATTTGAAACTTTGTGTTCATATTTAAGTTTGAGCAAATCTTCTCAAATAAAATAAAGCAGGATTAAGTTGCTGTTTGTTTGCTGAAGGAAAAAACTGTTACGTGATTATTTTTTTTTTTTACTTGTTATTGTATTTTCTATTAAACTTAGTTATCTTTAGAATTTTTATTTCTCTTAAGCCATCACAGATGCAGGAAAAGTTGGAGATAGACTGGCACAAGATTTTTTCAGAGAAGAATATATCCTGAACAATGCCATTGGTATGTTTAATAGCAAATTCTGAAGCAGTGCGGTTTTCATAATAGTGGGTTTGAATGTAAATTCACTTTCTCTCTTTGCTAACCTATAAAAGACTGTGATAACATAGTAGTAGTAACATAGAAGTAGTAATTATTTTTTGTTTTAACCAAGTTCAGTACCAGTAGTGTAACATACCTCATTTTTATACCTTGCATGCAGAATTTGCTTCTTGTGTTTAAGCTATTATGATAGCTACCTTATCCCATCCTTCTGGGTAGTTATCTTTGTGCTATGGATGAATTAAATCTTAGATGCAGACAGTGCAGTTCTGTTTCACTGATTTACTTCAAAGACGACCTGAGATAAAAATAAATGCATGGAAAAATCAGTATCACTCAGAAAGCAGAAGATCAAATAATGTTAAAGTTTTTCATTTAAATGAACTGCATAAATGAATACTCAAGCTAGGACTTAACTGCCTTAGTTTATGGCAAAGAACCTAGGAGTATGTGGTCTTAAAATAACTAACAGCAAAGATATTGGGTAAAATTTACCAGGGTAAAGGGTATTAAGAAAGGGTATTAATTTTCTAGGATAAAAGTCAAGAGTTGAATGTTTTGTTCAGAAGAAACTTCTCCAAACATATTTTAATTGAACGCAGTCTGAGTTTTTAAACATCGTACCAGTGTTAGTCATTATAGGAGGAGAGGTGAACATCTTGCGTATCAACTTAGGTTGACAGAAGAGCAGAAAGTTATTGGAGTAAGAGTAATTTCTGAAAAGTTATTTTTACTTTGTTTGACAGAGTTTCCATTTTCAGCATTTGTCATGCCCTTCTTGCCTTCATGAAGAAAAATAGCTTAAAGTTTCACATATGTGGGAAAAACTAGTATTACCATGGTAGTTGGACTAGATGATCATTGTAGATCTCTTCCAACTAACTATTCTAGTCTATTCAAATATTGTAAGGGTACATACTTAAAGTTTGGGTTTTTTTAAAGTCATTAGGGTGTACTGTATCTATAATGCATGTAATTACAAAATCTAGATTAACTTTGGTATGATTGTATTCCTTTAAGACTGAGATTTCTGCCAATAGGATTTATTTGTATCTTATAATTTACAACTTAAAAATACACAGGAGAGCTGCTTTCACAGCATTTGCTATTGGAAAGGCATGCTTCTGTAGAAATTTAGTTCAAGGGCTAGCATCTAGAGCCCATGCATTAGTTTATAAGTTTTGTAAGAACAAAGTTAAAAATGCAATTCTGTTATATTTTCTAAGTACTCATTTGAAGGATTGAACTGCCTTTTAAAATAGTTCCTTTTTTAAACAAGGATCTATAGAAAGCTTGCAACAGAAAAGCTAGCAACACGGTTGCAGCAGATACTTGTATCAGCAATCTGACTGAACTAAGTCTGACCTGAAAACACTGAATATCAGGCAGCAGTTTCATTCACAGTGAACTCCTGAATCCTTCCATGAATGGTAGTTGAAAGCATCATGTCTTCACTTTTATGCCTCCTAAAGGCACCAACAGATGAAGTTGGTAGATAAAACTGTGGTACTTTAGGACATTATCATCTCAACCTGCCTGCGCCACATTCAGGGTTGTAACATACAAAGGAGTTGGCAAGACAGAACATGTTTGCATTGCAGTAGTTTATTTTCACATTTTGGCTGAAGTCTACCAATTCATCTGGCTTTGCAGTAAAGTACTGGAGTGCTTGTACACACTCTGTGCTGTTAATCCAGGCTGTGAGATGGGTGAAACAAACTGCTGTGTTCCAGCATCCTACAAAGCTATTTATAATAGCCAGATGTGGCTAAATTGTCAGGTACTCACATAGCAAACAATCTTACATTTAATGGTTGTATGATGTTCTCTTACAACAGTCAGAATGCAGTAAGTCAGTAACTGGTGTTTCTTTTCATTGCTTAAGAATTACATAAATTACCTTCATTATAAATGGATATTTTACTGTTTAATTTACAGTTTATTTTCTGTTGCTCTTTCTGAAGTAAGACATGGGGAAATGTGTCATGTACACAGTTAGTCACAGGCCTACTCTTTTGAAAAAATGTACAATTTTTTTTACATATCTTACAGGTACTTGCAAGAAGCCATATGTGGCACTTATTGATGGCATTACAATGGGAGGGGTAAGTTAAGTACCTTTGTGTGATATCTGATATAATTTGTTTTAAAATAATGTAATCTCTGTACTTGAGCTGAATGAAGTGCACATGTAGCATTTCAAACATTTCAATTCAAGAACAAGCATCATAATCTGAACCTTTGTCTCTTGCTTGTCTTAGTAAATTGCTGCTCTTCTAGTGCTTCTGCTGTTCTTTGATAGCTAGTGCAACTGCTTTCTCTGAGGATCTGGCGATTGCATTGAGAAAAAGAGCAGAATCCTGCCACTGTGGGAAATACCCCTCACAAAGGTTTTCAAAATACTGAAGTGTGAGTTTGTAGATCATAAAAGAGCTGAGATGAATTTTCCACTCAAAGTGTATTAAAAAATAGAACTATATAAAAATACAATTAAAGGACAAATCCTTGAAAAATTGGAAAAATATCATTCTAAGCTATACTTTAACAGACATTCATGAGTTCTGTATTTTTCCAACAAATAATCTGGAAAGGCATCTACTTTCTCACCTCTGCAGTACTCCTAAAACATGAGTTACAAGATCCTGATTTCCCCCCCAAGGCCACACCTTATTACTAAAGCAACATGGAGGATTCTCCATCACCTTGCTAGTTATACTCAGTGCTTATAATTGTTTCAGCAACTCTTGGCTCAAAACACTGTGAGTAGGTAGTTAGAAGAGCAATACCATGCTTTTCTACATGCTAAAATGCTGTTCTCTTCAGTTTGACATACGTTGGATATATTTGCACCATAGCAGGGAGTAGAATACAATAATCTTAAGGTCTTTTGAACAATGAGTTTGACAGTGAAGTCCATCTGCCATATTGTCACTTAGATTTTTATTGTTTTCTTGCATGTCAGTATGATATGGGTGTACAGTCTATTTAAATTAAAGTTAAGTCAAAGACAGGATGCAAGAAGTGGAACACTACATGATCCATCACCTGTCATGACTCTTACCTTTCCATCTTTTCTCACACATTTAATTTTGTCTCTTTTGGTTGTGGTCTTTTCAGCTTGTGATCTAAACATGCAGTTCTTCCCCTTTGCTTCTCTGCTACCAGCCCCAAAGATCTCAGCTAGATAACCATTCCCTCCCCGCCCCAATCTAGTATACATAATTGTTTGCAGCATAAAGGGGACTAGTCTTGTAGCTCTTCTTGCAGAAAAAGTTTTTTATTTAACATAGGAGACCTGAAGTTTTGTGGATAAGAGACAGGGGAGTCCATTTATTTTAGTGAGTTTTGAATAACTGCATGGATAGCTATGAAAGAGCAAAACTGCCCAGCAGCTGATGTCTTTTTTACAGGTCCTATAGATTGCTCATTATGATTGTGTCCTAAGCAGAAATAGAATTCTGTCCTTTGACAGTATTTTTTTGGACTGAACAGAGCATAATGGAGTCAGATGATCCTGCATTACTAAGATTCTTTATTGGTTTCCTTTCTTTTAAGGAGCTTTTAAAAGACAACAGTTAGCCTGAAACTTTAGTTGGGTATCCAAATTTTAGTATAGCATGCCCAAATTTCATTGCGACCTTGACTGCATTTAACTGCCATTAGAGTTTGAATGACTAAGTTTCTTGCTTATCCTCAGTTTGATGATACTAGTAGCAGTTGTCTTCATTTGAGTGTAG